ATGGCCCCAACAGCTGGAGCTAGATTGGGCCAGGTTGAAGCCAGGAGGCAGGAGTTCCATCTGAATCTCTCGTGTGGGTGCCCAGCCATCTTCTGCTCACTTTCCTAAGCTCATTAGCAGTGAGCTGGGTTGGAAATAGAACCACAACACCGACTCTGAGAATTTGCACTGGAACTGGTGCAAGGTGCTGCTATCCTGGGGCTGAACTTTGAGAACCACAAGGAGATGTCAAGGAGGCTGTGCTTGAACGAAAGGAGTTGCAAAGAGCAAAGAGGAGAAGGAAGAAAGGCAGAGCAACTGACAAACTTGGAAGTTCCAGCACAGAGCTCCTCAGTGTGGATGTCCAGAAATGGATCCTTGGTCCTTCACTGGATCCTTGAAGAAAGCTGTACACTAAGGGCATCTGGCTTCTGCTTCAGGGACAAATGGAATCACAGACAAAATACCTCTTCTTGCTATGCAAGGGGTCTTTGCAAGTTCATAGAAAATGTGCATATGAAAACCAAACAAGATGAAATGTAGATTTCAAAATGTTTTGCACAAAAATATCTCTACTTTCCATGAACTTCTAGAAGTCATTCTGTATGTAGAATCTCTGAATGTCCAGCCCTCCCAAGAATTTGCTTAGGAACAGGGAAATTGAAGTACCTGATTTAATGTCTCCACTGTTTATTCTGGGTTATTATACAAATGTGATAATTTCCTATGTGCTCTGTGACCTGAGAAATTTGGAGAAGCATCACTCTGCACTAGAAACTTGTGGCTCAAATACATACCCACGGTACTTTCAATGAAAATAAGAACTTCATTCACAACTTGGATTCCATTAATTACATGCTGAAATGTTCATATGGTAAACACATGGAATATGCTTCTAGAACTATTCTTACCAGGTTTTTGTTTTTGATTTTTACTTTTATAATGTGGTTACTAGAAAATTGAAATGCCCTATGCAGTCTGCATTGTACATGAGGACGGCACAGCCCTGGGAGCTGCCTTCATGTGGAAGCCATAACGTGGCCCAAATCAGCTAGGCTGGATTTGTACGTGAGCTTGTGTGGGCAGGCATGCACGTTTGCAGGTATGTGGCAGAACTCTTGTGGGGAGTCTGGATGAATCCAGTGGTAGGCCAGACACTTGGACTTGATCGTGTAGGAGACAGAGTGACTCAGAAGCCGTGAGGGAAAGCAGATCGACCCATTTATGCTGAGTGATAATAACCTGAAGCACAACAGAGGAGGGGGCGGAGGATCTCACAATAAACAACACGGGGAGAATGAAGATCGCCAGGCTCGGGCTGGTGTAAAGCTGAAGACTTTGGAGCCAGAAACACCTGCTGAAGTACTAGTTCTTCCACTAGCTACCCGTATGGTTTCAACAGTCGTTGAAACACTTGTCACCAAGATGATGCACCAAGATGCAGAAGGAAGCTCCTGCCTCAACCAAAGCCGGAGCCAAAGCAAAGGGTCTGAAGGCCAAGAAGGCGGTGCTGAAAGGTGTCCAAAGCCACAAGAAGAAAGAGATCTGCACGTCACCCACTTTTGGCAGCCCAAATATCCTCTGAAGAGCACCCCTAGCAGAAACAAGCTTGACCACTGTGCCATCAACCAGTTCCCTCTGACCAGAGTCAGCTAACAAGATAGAAGACGACAACACACTCGTGTTCACTGTGGATGTTAAAGCCAACAAGAACCAGATCAGACAAGCCGTGAAGAAGCTCCAGGACATGCGTGTGGCCAAGGCCAATACCCTGATCAGACCTGATGGAGAAAAGAAGGTGGACGAGCAGCTGGCTCCTGAATATGACTCTCCTGATGTTGCCAATTTTTACCATATAGAGAGTCATTGAACTTTCCCGTGTCTCAGTTTGTCATCTCCAAAACAGGTGTCTGTGTCATGGAGCTCCAAGGTCAGGGTACCAGTCCTATTGGGTTGGGTTCTGGTGAGGGCTAGGTTCTAGCTTGCAGTGTGCCAGTTTCTCATTTGGTCCCTGTATGGGGAGCAGAGGGCAGCAGTGGAGTCCCTGGTATGAGGACCTGAATCTTTTCATGAGGGCTCTGCCCTCGTGACCTCATCACCCCAAAGGCCCTTCATGTTGAAGGTTCAGGTTTCAATACATTCAACCCACTACCAGTGCCAATGTGTTCTAATTTCAACAGTGTTTAAGGGGGTGTCTGATGGGCTCCACCACGAGGGTGTGACTTCAGGATTGGGTTTTGTGTTCAGCCCCACACAGTCTGTTTTCCCAAGAAGGGTAAGGAAGCAGATACTAATAGCAAATGCTCCTGGCTGCTCTGTGCTCTGTGACCCTGGGAAAGTGACTCAATGGATCAGAAAATCAACTACTGCTTCCTAGAAAAGTGATGACGGGTACACCAATCTCTACCCAGAGAAGGTGCCCAGTAAATGTGAATTTCCTCCAGGGGGCAAATAGCTTGGCTGCCAGTGCTGGCAGTGGAGACTTGACTCTCCACTAGAGCTAAATGATTATCCAAATTTGGTGGTTACTGTCTTCTCTTGGAGTCAGATCACAGCTCCAACTCTCAAATCAATGTCAACAGAAAGGTCATTACAGACCTTCAACCTGGGGGTGGGTGGGTGGGTCCTGGCCTAGGGTCTGTGTAACAAACACGTGCTCCCTGACCCCCACCCTCACTCCACCTCCAGCCATCCTCATGGGAGCCTGTCTTCCCTCACTCACTAACGCAGTTTTGGTTCAACCTGTTCTCCTTTCATAGCTGGGGTTTTGTAAGAGGCCAAATTCCAGGCTGGGGCAGGATAAACAAAATCCGCATGGCTAATGATTGGTGAGTTGGCCTGGAATGCAATTTACTGGGGATTTCAGTGGAGGGGACTTTGTCATCCCCTGGACTGCTGACAGGGAGGTTGTTAAAACAGGAAGGAGGGGCCAGGCTCTGTGCTGTTGCTGCCCGGGAGTTCTTTTCCTCCTACCACTCCTCCCCCCCCTCCTTTTTTTTTTTAAGAGTGGCGATACCTGCTACCAACTTGGAATTCTCTACTTGAAGTTACTTTACAAGGAAGTAAAATTCTCTTGGCCAAAGCCTTGTGTTTATCTACTACTCACAGCATACAAAAGAGTCTGCATTGTACACCACCTGTTTTGCAAGTTGGGGGGCAAATTTCAGAGAGGGGAAGGAACTTGCCAAGGGATGCACAGCAAGGAAAGGGCAGGACTAGGATTTGAAAGTTATTCACAGAGCAAACTAGGCAACATGATAGTGGGCATGTGTGAGTGTCAGACCTACAGCTAAGCCTTCCCTTTAGTGAAAACATCTCACCTTGATATCACCTGGTGGTCAAACAGATTCGTCCTTGATTCCCACATGGGTCTGATCATGCAAGGAATTTCCTTTAACGTCAGCTGGAAGTTTAGAAAATCACTTGTCCTCCCACTGTTCTCTTTTACTCAAACGTAGCCCCGGCCTCTCTACCTCCAGTGTCTGCCCAGGGTCTAAGGCAACGTCAAGATAGACAAGCCAATGGGAAGACATCTGAATGTATGTGCTAGCCCGGCTCCAATCCTGCTGTCTAGACAATCTTAGTTTTTAATCACTCAGTGCTGTCTGTCTCTATTTCTTTATCTGACAAAAGGGGGCTACAAAGTCCAGACGAGGCCAGAGATCTCAATTTGTGCTTTGGAAACTTCTAGAAAGCTTCATCTCCCAGCCCATCTGCTATCCCTGTTCTACTGCTGCTGGGTGCCCTGCCTTGCTGGCCACCTTCAAGGTGTCCTCTGGCCTGAAGGCTGGCCCAGCTGCCCTTGCTGGGGAACTCTCTGCAGCATCTGTGTGAGGACTGATGTTGGAGAAAAAGCCAGGTGGCATTCCCTCAGTCCCACTCAGCCCTCAGTCCAGGAAGCAGCTAACATAGAGGAGGACTGGTTACCACCCCAAGGAAATTATAGATAAACTTATTATGGTACAAAAAAAATTGACCCCAATACATCCATTCCAATAAAGTTGTGGTCATTATATTCTGTTGCCACCCCTGACTCACCGCCTTACTACTATTGTGGAACTTGAACCAGGTCAACACAGTTCACAAATATTTGCAGGCCTTGTCTTCCCAATTGAAAAACCAGATTCTGGGACCTTCAAGCAGTTTCTAAGCTAGCCAGGGAATCTCTCAGTAAGATTAGGGATATACAAAGCCATTTGGGTTTTTATAACATGGTGAGAAAATAATGTGACTTTAAAGTCTTTATGAGCCCCGGAATGCATTTTCCAAAGTAGGAATGAGCTGACACAGGCAGAGTGTCGGCTGGAAAAACAGGGCCTGGGTTAGGTGGCCCAGGAAAAAAAAAAAAAAAAAAAAAAAACCTGCTTTGGTGCCCAGAGCCTCCCATTGATTTCCAGTTGCTGGTCAGCACAGGCCAGCGGAACAACTGTCCCATTGGTTCATGTGCCTTGGAAATGACCCCACACCACTAATGGGGGCTTAATAGTGGCTTATTTAGTCCTTAAGAGAGTTTCCTGTTGTCATTCTTAGTAAGAAAATTATCCACCTGTCATTTCCCTTAAATGTATACAGTAATAATTAGCCAGGCCCCAGAGTGAAGCTGGTTATCTTTAACCTTGGCTGGATGAAAGCTCAGTGACCCATTGAAGTCTGTTAAATCATTCAACTCTGACAGCTAGAGAAGTGATATGGTAGCAGATATTTGCTAGGAAAATGGTTCTAGTAACTCAACATGTGTTCATCATTTCACAATTGGAAAAAGTCAAAGTAAGCCTGAGGTCTTGAGCAAGCGATCTCTTGACAGATCAGCAACTCATGGCTGTTCCCTGATATGTAGATATGATTGTATTTGAGTGTTGGCTATGTCCATATCCATCCATTCAAGTGTTTTCTGTAGCTGCTGCTTCTGCATGACACCAGCACAGCTGAGTCACTTTGACAGAGACCATATGATCCTGGCAAGGCCCCAAATAGTCCCTCTCTGACCCCTTCCGGAAGAAGTCTCATGACTTCTGCCCTGATCTACAAAGGGCATGTCTAAATCTTGCATCAACCACTTACCAGGTGTGCGACCTTGGGCAGATGACTTCACCCCATTGTTTGCTTCAGGTTCTTCACGTGTTCATCAAAGCTAAAACAGGCACCTGTGTGGCAGAGGCTACTAGCCTTCACCACCAACTGCTCCAGTCAACCCTGTTCTTCTGGACTTGGACGTGACTGTGTGTGTGTGTGTGACTTCCCTTGAGCTGTGAAAAAATGAAGGGAAGTATTGCACCTTAGTTACAGCATGGACAGCCACCATGAGTCCTCCATGCACTCTTCCTGTGCTGTGTTGATCAAGGAGACTGCCACAATGACTACATGCCTTGGATGTCGTAACTCCAGAGAAGTCAGTTTGAATGTCCGAATGATTACAATGAATAGGGCGTTGAGCATAAGTGAGAAGCAAACCTTCAGCAGAAAGCCAACTTTATGCTAATTGACTTAATTCAAAGTTTTCATTAGGATTACATGAAGCAAGCAAAGAAGATATTAGAAGGGCAACTGGCACACAGAAAGTACACAATGGATACTAGCTGAAATGAATACGAATACGTGTTTTTCATCTCTTACTTAATTTTCAATTCCGCAGAGACTGCAAGTTAGTGCCTATGACTTGCACATGTTTATGCAGTGAGCATGAATGAGCACCTGTGCTACATGGTTCAGTGCTAGACTCTAGGATACAGACTTACAGATGAGCAAGAGATACCTTCTGTCTGCAGAGGGGAGTTCCCTCCGATCCAGGCTTGAGAGAAGAGATGATGTTAAGGGGAGTCAGTCATCTCAGAGCTAACTCTTAAAAGTAAGTGGGGATGTACCCAATGGAGAAGGGAAAGAAAGACATTGCAAACAGAGCAAACCAGCATAAGCAAGGACATAGAATTATAAGTTCTTTTGAGGGAATTGTTAATTTTTCTTTTATTTATTTGAGAGAGAGAGAGAACATTCCAAACTGCTGGTTCATTGCCCAAATGCCTTCAGTAACTCGGGTTGGACCAAGCCCAAACTGGGAGCTTAAAATTCAATCCAACTCTCCTGTGTGGGGAGCAGTAGCCTAAATGCTCGGGCCATCATCATTCCTCCTTCCCCCCAGACCCTCGGTCTATCTTATTTGGAAGCTGGAGGTAGGACCTGCAGGTAGGCAATGATCCAGTTACTCCGGCATAGGTTGTGGAGATACTTGCCAGCATCTTAACTGTTAAGTGAAATGTCCACTTTTGGTGGGATACTGAAAAGAGTCACATAACAGAGAGGCAGGAGTTTGGTTAAGCATGTAGCAGACAATATTTCTTGTCCACTTGACAGCCATTTGCAACCTTCTTCATTTTCAACAGCAGAGAAAAACAGAAAACCTCCCTTAGAAGCTGGAGTGGCCATCTGATATAGTGTCATCAGAGGAGATATATAGTGTCGTCAGGAGAAGTCTCCCAGGGAACTTCAGATTAAAGCAAAGAATCACATAAAGCAAGCTCATCATTATCTTGTGTGGGCGTAGTGCCTGGAGCTGTGGCAGCCATCCTGTTGATCATAGCGGAAGGCCAAGAAAGCTGGGGACATGGATCCAGTTTCTGGACTTCAAGGTACTACCAAAGTAGCAATGGAAACACACACCTCTAGACCACTTAGTAAATAAACAAACGTGCATCCTTATGACTTAAGTCATTGCTTCTCTGTTATTTGCAAACCAATGTGTCTCAACTGACGGAGAAGTTGTGAGAAATGAAGCTAATTCATCCAGATCATGCAGGGCCCTTCATAGCCATGGGGTCAGTAATAGATCTAATGAAAGAAAGAGAGATTCATAAGAGGGTGAGACACTATCAAGGATTCTACTGTGAAGGGGCATCAAAGCCGAGATTTGGTCAGAGACCTTCCAAGCGAAAGTCTGCATCTCTGTACATCATGATGTAGGGAACATTTCTCCTCTTACCCAGTGGATCCAGCAACTTCCCAACTGAAAGCCTTGCTCATGATCTGCCTTGAATCCTGGGGCATTTTTCATCACATGCGGAAGAAATGACAATTTGACCTGAACCTCTTCCTAAGTTGAAACCAGATCTGTGATCTTTAGAAAGAAGTCTTGAGGAAGGTTATGGAGAAATGAGACCAGGGGAGACATCTCTGGGCCAAACTGACATTAGGGCAAAGATGCAGAGACACACACCACAGATGAAATTGGAAATTATTCTGGTGACTAAGAAGAAAGCAGCAACCACGCCATCCTCTCTGCCTCCCCTGCACTGGCACTTCTCTGACCTTTACCAACAGACAGATACGGCTTCTGTCTTGCGACTGCTCCCCCATTACATGTGCTCCCACCATGATCGCATCCACCACAAGGTCTTCCCCAGAGACCGAACCAATGGTGCTGCTGCTCTTGGACTTTCAGCCTCTGATCCTGTTGAGCTAACCCTTTCCCTTATTTTAATAAGCCAATGGAAAGTGAATGAATATGAGCAATGGATGAATGTGTTATTTATGACTTGGGACCCTGACCCTCACTTTGATGACAGCTCATAGAATGTACAGCACACTGGCCAGTATACTCCTGACTGTTGACATCTTTCCTGCTATCAATCTCCCCACCACATCCCTCCACAACACACACACACACACACACACACACACACACACACTATTGGAAGTCAACTTCTACCACCACCCCAACCATGACATGAATTTGAACCTTAGCATTTTTCTATAGATACCAATTCAATCAGCTCCTCAAGCACCAGTGTCTAATATTTCCCCAGAGACGACTAACCCTGATCTTTTAGCACTCCTCCATGGGGTCCAAATTTATGGAGGAGAATGTGACTTGTCTGTGTTTCTGCACTTCTCCCTTCCTCACTGCTCTGAGAACATCAAGGACACAAAGGCACTGTCTCTTATTTGCAGTGTGTGTGTGCAGAATTTTGCTTTTCACAGAGTGAAATCCTGGGCCATCTGGCTGGCTGCTCAGAAAGGTTATTCATTTTAACAACAACAGTCATAGCTCACATTTACCAAACATTTACCGGAAGGCTGCTAAGCCCTTTATGTGAATTAACGTGTGTAATGCTCACAATAACCTTGGGAAGGTAGGTGCATTCTACCCATCACTCTTGTACAGGTAAAGAGACTTCAGCTTAGAGAACAAATTGCTCAAGTCATGCAAGTGGCCAATGATGAAGGGCGGGCTTGATCCCAGCCTATCTGACTCTAAAACTGGGTCCTCCATCAGGGTCTCTCAAACTACTTGGCACATATAGACCACCTGAGGCCTGGCCAAAATACATCTGTTGATTCAGTAGGAATGGGGGTTGCAGCCTAAGATTCCACATTTCCAAGAAGCTCTTGAGTGACATGGATGCTGCTGCCCACTTTCCTAAGTCATGCCAATCTTGAGCTATGCTAGAGTGCCTCCTGAGCTGGTAGACTGACTGCACAAAGGTCAGTGAAGTTATTCTGCAGAAATAATTTCTCAAAATACAGTCATGGTACAATGTGTGCGTTGGGGTCCTGAGTTTGCACTGGCAGCAACTGCTTAGTTCTTCCAAGGTTGGACAACTTCTGATCTTAGTAGCTCAGTTTCCTATCGGAGGCGGGAGGCTAACATTACCATCTGATGGGTGGTAGCAAAGATGGGAAAGTATTCCTGAAAAAGGGGCTCCGTGCACTGCACCAAAAGCGATTAAATAACAGCTCTTCAAGGGGCATGCTATTAAAGTAATAAAAACCAAAACAATAACATTTCCAATAACAACATTCAACAGCTAAGGTCCTGTGTTGCAGGCATTCCACTTTTCACTTATTCTTCCACCCATTTTCTTAAGCCATCTGCCAAGGGTAGAGAATTCCATCACAGTGTTTTATTGCACTAATTAGAGACCTTCACTACCTCAGCATCTGAGCCTTACAGAACTCTGTGCAGTGTTATTTTATAGCCATAAAGTGACTCTCCCAAGCCTCTTCCATATTTGGAAATAAACAAATGAGAAAGGTAGAAAACCTGGGTTCCACCCCACCCCAAAGAAGGGTTCACAAAGAAGGCGGGAACACCAAACGAGACTCATAGCCATGCCTGAAGGGGTCACGAAGGACCAACACACAGCATCACAGATGAGCACAAAAGGTGCTGCGCATCTGGCCAGATGACAGAATAGCAGAATGCAGGTGCTTCTCACGAGCTCCTTTCAGTCTTCCTCTGCAGTTACGGCTACTTCTCCCTGGAAGAGTTGTGTGCCCTTGTCCCTCTCCCGAGTCATTCAAGCTGGCCTTTACCCTTGGTTTACACCAGCAAAATGCAGCAAACGTGACTTTGCAGATCTTTCTGAGTCTTCAAAGTACTAACAACTTCTGTTGAAGTTGGAGCCAAGCTGCTGAAGGATGAGCGGTCATGGGGTGGAAAGAGGTCTGAGGACAAGGCCGTCTCTAGACAAGCTTCCAGGGGAAGGAAGCCCTGTGAGTGGCCTCAGCTGCACTTTGTGGAGCGAGAGAACCACTCAGTAGAGGCTAGTCCATCCAGATAGTGAGAAATTATATACGGCCGTTGTTTCAGATCCCAGCAGCAATAGACAACTAAAATACTAGACATTGCTTCCATCTATTTTTCTTTAATCTTCCCTTCCACTTACACATCCAAAAAGTAGCTCATATGTACTAATGTCCCCATGTCAGCAGCCGAAGTCTCACCCAGACACTTAATGGAAATTCAGATTATCAGCCCCACCTCGGACGATTAGACCAGAGACTCAGAATGAGGCCAGTAATTTACACGGACAAGCCTAATGGAGGATTCCTAGGTGGCACTCAAGCTTAAGAAGCGTTGGGTTCGGCCAATGTTCTTTTTTAAATCCTAGATATGCATCTTAACCACCTGTGGCCATTTGTTCAGCCCTACACAGAGAACCTGAATGAGGCAAGCCTCAGCTGTTTCCAGCATTGAAAACACTGCATTCTCATTCTGCTGAGAAGCCGAAGACCAAGGAGGAATTAAAGATGATCCACAAACTGGCCAAGCCCTCTCAACCAAGGCATTTCATCCTGCATAAAGGATTCACCTGGAGAGGGTGTAAAAATGCAGATTCTGATTGGGTAGATCTGGCGTGGAACTGGCAATCTGCATTTCAGATCTGCTCCCCAGTGAGGCTGAGGTTACTGATTCCACTCAGGATATCAGCAAAGCTCTGGGTTTTTGTCAACTTCTTCTTAGAAGGTGCTTTGTGTAGTGCACATGGACCCATAAGCCTGCTGTCCACTGTTGAGGCAGCCTCCATGTCCCTATTGAACGTTGGCTGAATAATGGAAAAGATTTGGCCCAAGTGTGTGTGCAGAATCATGTTCCAAGCCAAAGGGAAAACCCAGTACCCCCAATATAGTTGCTCAGTGGGTGGCTGGGATCTAGCTGGGGTGGGACAAGAAAAGAGAAATAAAGCTAGAATTCGTTTGTGGGTAGCTTTGGGATGGTTGTGAATATTAGACAAAAGAAGAAGAACAGGAGGAAAGAAGGTCTTAGCTTAACCCTTGAGCCATGGGGAGTTATGGAAGTTCTTATAGCAGGGCCACAATGTCTCTGCTATCAGAACCCGGTTTCCACGGAGAGTGACCACATTGTGTCTGACCACCCATCTTCGTCATGACCACAAGATTTATACGACAAGACAGAGAGATGCCATAGAGACTCAGGGTCCTGGAATTGGATGTAAGAGGCCAATATTTTGAAACTGGTATCTCATCTGCGTGGACAGAGTGCCATTTGCCAATGTCTTGGGGGAGGAATTGTCTTTAGGAGGACAAACAGGGAGGCTCCCACCCCCAGAGACCAAAGCTCTGCTCACATGATCCAGTCCGTAATGTTCTCTGTGTCACAAAGAACAGAAAAAATGTGCGTGATGGAATGAAAATCCCACTGCCTGGCTACCCGTGGGCAGGCTCAGTTACTATGGAAAATTCCTGATTAAAGTCAGCAGAAGAATTTCCTAGCTAGCAACTATTATTAATAGACGCTTCAGCCTTGCGCTGACATTCAAGATTGGTTTCCTTAATATGTCATTGCACAAGCCAGGTGATTAAACCCCTATGTTTTTTAAAAGCAGGGAGAACGTACCCTCCTTCGCTGAGCTGACCACCCTTCCTAATAACCCACGCGGTCCTGTTCAGTTAGCATGAGAACAAAACTGCAACCATGAAATTATTTTAACAAGACCATAAAAAAAAAACAATTTGCTTGAGTGATGTTTAGGGAGAAGGAGGGGAGACTCACCCTCTCTCTAAACTAATTAAACTGTACTATATGTCCTTGTGTAGTTCCTGACATTTTTCTGGTTCACTCAGTTTGAATGGTTATACAAGGATCGGCGCCAAGCTCCCAAATGGCTAACTCAAAACAAAAGCAGGGTCTCCAGAGAATTCTTGAGCATCCAGCAAATTGAGGGAAAGTTATTTCGAGTTCATCAGTGTACTTCAGCTACAATCACATCTTGCCTGGTTGAAAAGATGGCAAACAAGAGGTCACTGTTTGAAGCCCAAAGTGCAATAAGCTAGAAAGTGACAACGACCTTGTTATATTTTTCTAATTTTAATTTTTTTTTCCTGAAAAATCACACCCTGTTTTGGAGGAAGCCATTGACAATGGCCCCTCATTCTTTAACCTTCCCCGCACCCTCCACTGCACGCTATAGTAATTTGTGTCTTTCCCCACTCACACTAGTTATTATTGTATGCCATTGGAAGTTTCCTTGAACATCTTTGCAACCAAGGAGTCCTTTCTCAGTCTGGTAAGGAACGAAACATTGATTCATGGCTGGGAATTCTGGTTTCTGGCAAGACAAGCCTTGGTTTAAGCTATAAAGGCCTTTGGGTGTCGGTAAGGCTCTCACTAAAATTGAACTGGAAAACACAGTGAGTCTTGGACACAGCCCAGTCCTACACGTGTTGACGTAAAACCTTCTGAAAAATGTGCCCGAGTGTGTTAAACCTGAATATCATGGCCTCCCACTTCTTCCAACTAGTGTTTACCAACTCCTTGGGAGTTTAAAAGAAAATGTTCTTGTTTGAAAACCTCTTTAACGTTGATGAGGCCAGCCTTTAAATTCCAAAGAACTGTAGAGCACAGATAAAACATAGAATTCAACTCATTTCCATTTAAAGCAGTATAGAGTGAGCATCTGCCATGTGGGAGATACTGAGGAGGTTCCATCCTTGGGAGGAACAAGATGAAACTGATAGAGGTGCCTCCCGACTTCAAGGAAATTAGGTTGTCCTAATTGAAGAAAGGAATCAGTATGATGAATGGTAATACTGCTCACAGCGATAAGCCCTAATGTTTTCATTACTCTGCACAATATGCAAAGTGTATGCAAATCTGTGCATGTAAATGCACAGCTCCAAGGCGGTGCTTCCCTCCTGGCCAGAAAGGCTGGTAGGCTCTGCTCATCCAACTTGTGCAGAATCTCAGCTGGAGTCCCAAGACATAATGGAAGAGAAAGCCAACAGAAAGTAGACTGAAAAAAACAAAAAACAAAAAAGCTGTGGTTTTTGGAACCAAACAGAGGTATGACTCTTGTCTGTGTTAACTCAGAGCCTACCAAACTAGATGATTCTGACACCTCCCAGAATCATCTCCATGGCAAAACAGGGATGTGGCCACTTCCCCATCTCTGTTGTGTCCTTCCTCCTCTGCTGTAGCGTAGGCTTTATTAGTCCGAGGGGTACCTTGAGGTATTGGGTTGTTTTGTGACTCTGCCATTCTGTCTCTACCCAGGTCTCTTGTTCAGGACCATGGCACATCCTGTCTCCTGTTCTGTGAAGGGTGTTGGTATCCTCTTTGCAGAATGGCCATCTCTCCTCTTGTTCTAGAGGACAGGCTTCTAGTAGCAGAAGCTGCCAGGAAGACCAGCAAGCCAAGCTGGGATTACTTCCTATTTACAAACTTGGAGCCTTGCTTACAATCGAGGATGAAGTAGTAGAATCTTCTGGAAGACAGTCCCAGTGCCCCACATATGAAGGGCTACCTGTGGCCTACAGTTAGCATGACTGGCAATATGCTTCTGAACCTGCTCCTAGCTCAGCAGCATACCTTCTTTCCTGTGGGGTTGCATTTTCTGAGAAGCCCGTGATCCTAATAAGGCACCATGTATGGTTGGTGGCTTGACCGGCTGTGATAACAATATACCTTTCTCACTCAGCTTTGGGGCCTCTGGTCTGCTCCTGTCCCCTGTCTCCATGGAGAAGCGGCACAGCTGCTAGTGCAGCTGGGGGAACTCATGATTCCCCGTCTGCAGCTGGCCAGAAGCACAATGCCTGGACCTCAGCCGTGGCACCACAGTCACCAACTGAGGCCACTGTCACAGCGTTAGGAGGCCTGCAAAAGTCTCCCCTTTACTGTTCTCCCCTGGCCTCCCTGCAGTCCATAGTCTGTGCCCCGTGACCCTTGCCTGGTCAGCTGGAGAGTGACAACCCCCAGGCAGTGTGACTGGCTCTGGGATGGGCTATAGCCTAGGCTAGCACATTATTGTAACTCTCATCTGCTTAGCACTCACTGGGCGCCATGGGACAATGAATGTTACAGCCAGCACCTCCTTCCACCCTTAGAAGAAGCCTGGGGAGCAATATTATTGTTAGTGGGGGATTAAGTGTTTTGCTAAAGGAATCTCGTGAGGGCAACAGTCAAAACTAGAACTCAATTCCTTCTGCAGTTCCAAAGCTTATCCTTACCATGAACACGCAGCACTTTGCAGATGTTCCTACCAAAAACCTTATTTTTTTAAAAAAAGAATTATTTGTTTGAAAAGAGGAGAGAAAGATCTTCCAAATCACTGGTATACTCCTCAAATTGCCTCAACAGCCAGGCCTAAGCCATATTGAAACCAGGAGTCAGAAACTTAACTTCCATGTGGATGGCAGAGGCCCAAGTACCTGGCCATCTTCTGCTGTCCTTCCGGGTGCATAGCAAGAAGTTGGTTGGGAATTGGAATCCTTGGGATTCAAATCCTAACAGCCCTGGAGTGCTACCTTGAAGTATTTGCCCTTTAGGTCGACACTGTGAGGTAAGGTGGACCAAGCTGATGCAAACCAGAATCTGCTGAATAATAGCCTGCTTAGCCTGCAGGGCATACCAGCGGTTGGTTCTCTCACCTAGCAGTGTGAGGGTGACATATTTGCTGCCTTACCACCTTGGCAGTACTTTTTCTGGATAAAAAGGCACTACGTTATAATAATCTACTGCATTTTGTTGGATCAATCATCTCCTTTTCTAAAATCGATGTGGACATTTTTGCATACTCACCTTGGGATGAAGAGTACGAATGTTCCTTTTCGGCTTGGTGTGAAGTTAAGCAGTCTCTGTGTTGCTCACTGGCTTAGGACACCTCCTGGCCGCCCCGAGGAAGGAAGCACCTCCTTGTCTCCTGGGATCTGAGGTCCCCAGGGTTAAGAAGTTGTATAAATCTGCAAAAGGGCACAGACACGGATTCAGCTTCTCCACCAAAACACTTAGAAAACAATCCCCTTTGCTTGCAGCCCTCCAAACCCACTTCCTCTCTGATTTTCTCCTTACCCTCCCTACTGCCACACCTCCTTCTCTCGTGGGGTAAACCGTAAGAGCCAGAATTGTTCTCTCTCAAGGCAAGTCACAGATTCTGCACCCCTCTTCCACAAAGCCAGCGTGCAGCCTAATAACACTTCACTTTCCCTGTGTCTTTCTCTGCCATCCACAAGGAAATTCAGTCCCATAGGCCAAGGGAGCGCCACCCATAGCTGTGAGAAAGCAGCACTGAAACTGAAGCACCAAGGAGAGTCTAAACAGACAAGTCTTACTGGAGCCTCTCACCAGTTTAGTTGCCCTAAGACTGCTTTCCAATCATCTTTCTGCTTGGCTGTCCCTGCGTCATTGAACCTGAGTATAAAAATGGATTGTTGACCTTGGTCTTTGGGTCTTCATTCTGAAGGCTCCCAGGCATGTACAACTTTGATTAACTGAATCTGTGAGGCTTTGCTCTTGGTTAGCCCGTCTTTAGCGATAGAGGTGTCAGCCATGACCCCTTGTGATGGGGAGGAAGGGGTCACCCCTGCTCCCCTACAGTTCTGGCTGGGAGGGCTAATCCTACCTCGTGGGTCTGCTAGGGATCTGAGCTTGTTTATGTCACATGCTCAGCCAAGTGCCTGTCACACGAAAGACTGGATGAACTATAGCTGATTTGTTCATTATTCTACTGAGAGGAAGAGTTGATTTTAAAACTCATGGGTATTGGACTTACTCTATCCCCAGCTCCCAACACATGTTGCCAGTGTGCAGGCAGCCCAGTTCTGCTCCTTCACTGTGTCTCTTTCATAAGCAAGCATCATTCCCCTGTCCAAATGATTGGCAATGGAACATATTTCTACCTTTAAATGTTTAAGTGCACTACACATCACTGAGTTGTCCCCACTGGAAAACTTACGATGAGATACATCGTTTAGTCAAAATTGTAGCTAAACACTAGAATGGCAGGTGCCAGAGGCTGGGGGAAGGCAGGATGGAGGTTGTTGTTGAGTGTGTGCAGAGCTTCAATTTTAGACCATAAAGTGTACTAGAGAAGAATGGTGGCGGTGGTTGCACAACATCATGAATACATTTAATATTGCTGGACTTTATGCTTAAAAAGGTTAAGGTGATACATTTTATATTATGTGTATCTTACCACATTAAAGATGTTGGAAGACCTGGAGTGAGTTCCAGGCTCTTGACTTAAGCCTGGTCCAGCCCTGATTGCTGGATCAGGAACGAACCAGCAGATAAAATCTCTCTCTGTGGCTCTGCTTTTGAAATAAATAAAATAAACATTTAAAAAAATTACACACTTTTGGAAAGTTCTTGAGTCCATAAAAGGATGCTGGTGGGCATGAAGGGGTAAAGTAACAATACCTCAGTGTCTGTCCCCACAGAGCCACTGACGGGCTGGGCGCTCTGGGTCTCATTTGGCTCTGCGATAAAAACAGGCTGACACTAGATCAGGGAGTGGCAAAGCGGAGTTTGTGGGCAGCACAGAGGGCTTAAGCGGGAGAGTCATGTGCTCCTGTTTACACTGAAAACAAGGAAAGGCACTTCGGGATGCAGTCGAGTGGGTAGAAGTTATCTTCTCAGGAGTCCAGGGAGTGGCCAGGAGGCTGGCGAGAAATGAATCACCCAGCCTTATCAGAAACAACAGACACAGCTCACAAGCATGCCCGGGTGACAAGCTGCCAGCAAGAGCCAAAGCCCACTGTGGCTACCCACGAGCTGCCTAACGATCCTGTCTCTCCCTCTCTCTCTCACACACACTGACAACCCCCGTTTTTTAATTACATGGATTGCCCAGATTGTGTGGCTGTATTAGACCCAAAAAGTATTTAATATTTTGATTTACCATCTTCTCGATGACTGTATTCTGTCGGTCCCTCACAGCTCACAGTAACACACAGGAGATTATGTGTGTGTGCACAAACATGACACAATATCCCAATAAACTAGAAGCCTAGCGATGGAGGATAAATTAGGACAGGAACAAGATACATTTAGAAGATCGAGACCACAAAGGAGGTTAGAACTTAAACCAGCAAGTGAAGGATTCTAGGCTTTTAGCAAAGTGGCCTGAACAAAAAAAGGAAAACAGGATGATGCTTGAAACGTGGAAAAGATACAATGTTGCATGATCAGCATCTTATTTAAAAAATTTTTTTTGTTAAGATCTCTGTAGGAAAACTTTGCATGGCATTGAAGTTGGAAAGAAAGGACTTCTTTTTTTAGTAACCTGGGATAACCCTCTTCATTTTTTAAAACAGAAATACACATTAAAAAAAGTGAAGGAAATATACAAGGTCATTGATCTTAGTTTTCTAGGTAGTAAGACTGGAATGTTAATGAGTTATTACTCCCTAATAGTCTTCTGGTTTAAAAAAATTTCTAGAATACATGGATCTTGAATTCACACTCAGAAAAAAACCAGGGTGCTTGCCTTTTAAACACTTATTGGATATAAATTTATTCATTTTATTAAAAACATTAGCACATTTATCTTATTAAAATATTTATTAAAGTATTATTGAGACCTTTTTATTTATTAAAAATCATTCATTTGTTCATTTATTTATTTGAGAGGCAGAGAGAGAGGGAAGAAGAGAGTGTCAAGGCTACCTGGGTATGCCACACGGGCGGCAGGCACCCATGAACTTGGACCATCACCTGCCCTCTCCCCAGGTACACATTGGCAGGAAGCTGGAATGGAAGAGCTGGGACTCAAGTTCAGGCACTGCGACACAGTATGGAGGCATCCCAACTGGCCGTTTCCATGTGCCACAATGCCCGCCTCTCCAAAACTGGCTTGGAGAACTCACAGGCACCAGGCGCCTCGGTGGCCAGAAGCCCAGCAGCACGGAGGCTGACCTCGGGGATGCCTTTCCTGCCCACACCCTAGAAAGGCAGGGCGCGAGAGACAGAGGAACCCGGAAACAGACAAGATCATTTCAAGTCGTGCTAGGGACTTTAAAAGGTCTTGAAGCTGTACAAAGAATATAAAGTGCTTCCGAGTGAACTGGAGGGTATCAATGAGGGAGAGCAGGGAGAGAGCCCACTTGAAGGTACAGTGGTTGGCAGCGTCTCTGGATGGTGGCGGGGTGGGGGGCAGCAGCTGGCTCCGGGGCGATGAAGTCCTTCCCAGGCCGTACTGGCTCCACCTGTCACGGGGGCAGAAAGGAACTCTGGGTGGGACGAGGGTGTAGGAAATCCTGCTCTGTGCTCATGCGTCTGGCTTCAGAAGCTCAGCACTGGTTCAGGTGTGTCACGAAGCTGGGGTGCTAGGCCATTCCATCCTTGCCCAGCTGTTGAGGCACACCTCTCGCAGCTGGATGAAATTCACACCATGCTTTATTTTTGGCTTTCTCTCTCCAGCTCGGAGAAAGAGATGGATTTATCATTGTGGGTGAGAAGTGCTCAGACAAGACAGGCTGCGTGGCAGCAGCAAAGCACACTGGGGTTGGAAGTGTAAGTTGAACCTCCAGCCCACACACTACACACATCTAGAAGTGAAGTTCAGTAAACATCAGAAGTTCATCTAGCCAGAGTTAGCCCCCTGACACAACATTGTCTCAATTTGTCCCCCGAAGAACCTTCAGATTCTTATCAAACCCATTTTACTGATGAGGAAACTGAAGCCCAAGGAGGGAGACTGGGAATTCAAACCCAAACAGTCTTGTGCCAGTCTATCCCAATGCAGCTAATGGGAGATTGAAAGAACCAGGGATAGTGAAGAACCTGGATTGGAGCCTGGGTCCCTGCAACATTTTGTCCTTGTGTCTCCTTTGAGGAAAGAGATGGCTGTGTGACACAGGAGCTCAGTGCTTAAGCGTGGGAGGCAGGGGAGGGAGTTAGGGCTGGACAGCTGTGTGGCTCTTCAGCAGGTGGATGCCAGGCCACTCCTACCTGTTGCATGGACTGGCCCCTGTAAAAGCCATCCTTCAGCAGGGACTCTTTCCTCTGTATTTCCAGAGTATTCTGTCCTGGAGCAGAACAGTTCTTCCTCTGGGTTCCAAATGCACACCGAGTACTCGGTGCATCCCAGCCAGGATCAACATGGCATGAATTACCTTACTCGCTCAGGGCAAGAGTAGATACAGAGGCCTGCATGTTATAGCATCCAAATATTAAAAGTTATAAATCAAGCTAACAAACTGCTAAATAAAATATGCTCTAGCTGTACACCCTGACAAATATATCTGCTTCAGCATCTGGAGGGCCAAGATTGAGTTCAGGAATCTTGGACGCCTCTGAATTCTGGGCCTCACGGTGATGATAGAAGAGGGTTGGCCTGCAGCCCCTTGTCAGTCCCACCCCCACTTCTCGCCCCACCTCTGTGTCTCTGTCCTGTGCTGACAATGTAGGGATCAGAAACGACTGGGGATGCTCCAGCCTCATGGGTGAAACCCACTCTATTCTCCATCCCCACCAAAAGCCACACTTTGGCCACTGGTGGGCTTCAAAGTTTGCATGTGGGCAGGCTGCTCAGGCATTGGGAGGAGAGATAGAAGGAAGGAATCCATGCAATCTGCAAAAAGAGCTTATAGGTACTGGGGGTGGGGCATTTATGGCTCCTGATAAGTGTGCATAAAGCGTGCTCTAACAAGGTACAAACAGAAGTATAATATGAACCACAGTGCCAGCCATATGTGGAACTTAAAATATACTGCCAGTAGCCCACATTTAAAAAAAAAAAAGCTGAAAAGAAGCAGGTAAAAGTAATTTTAGCTAGGTATTTTATGAACCCAGTATATCCAAAATCTGACCACTGCAGCAAGTCATCTCTGATGCAAATGGTTCGTGAGACATTTTGTGCGCTTCCATTGTGCTAAGCCTCCAAGACCGAGAATGTCATCTGCACGCCATGCATCTCAATTCAGATGGGCTGCGTCCGGGGGGCTTGCAGACAGTGGGAACAGGTGGCTGTCCAGGAGTTGGCTCCTCGCGGTGTGGTCTGCAGCCCCTGCAGGAGCTCAGACAGGACCACCATGTGATGGATGGATTCACACAACCTTCCGATTCTACCCAGAGAGGCCTGGAGCTTGACCGGCAGCAGCGTGCTGTAAGGGGGATCTCACCAGGCATTTCCGGCTGATCCACATCACCTTCCCAATTAGGCAGAAAAAAAATCAGCCCCACTTAAAGAAATGGAAAC